CAAGCGTTTCTTGCACCCTTCTGAATACAAACTTTGGATTTCAGCTCTCGATCTTCTCCGCGGTTTTTGGCAAATTCCTGTTGCCCCTGATCATCGCAAATATGTCGCCATCATCACCAAGTTTGGCAAATATCAGTTTCGCAATCTTCCATTCGGCTACATTCACGCCAGCAATATTTTTCAAGAATGGATTACTCTTCTCTTTCGTGATATTACCAGTGTATTCCCGTACATTGATGACTTGCTCATCCTTGATTTCGGCACGTTTGATCAACACCTCAACACTCTTCGTCGCGTTCTTCTGCGCTGCCGCGAGAATCAAGTTTACCTCAAGAAATCAAAAGTCAAGCTCTTTCAAGATAGTGTCGAGTTCCTCGGTCATCAAATCTCTGCTGATGGTATATCGACTCAATCCAGTAAGACCAGCGCGATCCTTGACTGGCCACCACCCAGCAACGCAAAGGAGATCAAAATATTTCTTGGGCTCTCCGGATATTACCGTCGCTTTATTCGCAACTATGCCCACATTGCTGCTCCTCTTCATGCTCTTCTTCGTAAGAATGTCGTCTTTCAATGGACTCCCGAGTGTCAGCAAGCCTTTGATCTTCTCAAACACCGGTTAACCTCCTCCCCAATTCTCTCTCACTTTGATCCAGCGCTTAGAACAGAAGTTCACACCGATGCCTCAAACACAGCTCTCGGCGGTGTTCTTCTTCAGTACGACGCTGACAACAAAGAGAAAGTCATTGGATTCTACAGTCGCCTGTTTACTGATGCAGAAAGAAATTATCAAACCACTGAGCGCGAACTTTTGGCCATCAAAGACGTGCTTCTTCACTTCCAATTTTATCTGCTTGGCAAGCCCATCATCCTTCGTACTGATCACAAGGCTCTCACGTACTTTCAAACCCAAAAGGATCTCAAAGGTCGTCTTCGCCGCTGGTTAGAAACTCTCAGTGAATTCTCTATCGTCGAGATCGCGCACGTGAAAGGTACCGATAATGTCGTCCCTGACGCTCTCAGCCGCCAATACCCCGACGACGACGTCGCACCTCCACGCGATGACGCAATCCTACATTCAGATGATCAAGATTTTCATCATCTCCTTGCTCTTGATGCTCCTGCTGATAATGCTTCTCTCGTCGAATCTCTTCACGACGCAATCGTCCAAGCATATTCCTCGTGTTCATACTTTTCTACAATCTATCAAGCAGTTCAAAACAACCCATCGTACAAGCATTTTCACATTGAAAATCATCTCCTGATTCTAACAGATAGTCTTCACCGACAACGCATTTGTATTCCTCAATCTGTTCGCAAAGAAGTTCTATACCGTGCCCATGACCTTCACAGTCACCGCGGCTTCTCTCGAACATACTTGGCTCTTGTTCCTGTTGTTTATTGGCCCTCGATGCGTCAACAAGTCGAACGTTACATCCTTTCCTGTCAATCTTGCATCCAATACAAATCTTATCGCAAGCCACAGATGGGCCCGTCGCACAGTCAAGCAGCTCCGTCTGATCGTTTTGCTACAATCTCCATCGATGTTGTTTCCGGCTTCCCGCCTACTCGTTCTCATTACGACTCGATCTTCGTTTGTGTTGACAACTTTTCTGGACGTGTCTTTCTGTCTCCATGCAAGAAGACTCTCACCTCTCAACAAGCTGCCGATCTTTTTGTTTCGAAAGTCTGCGCCAACCAAGGCCTTCCCAACGAAATCATTTCAGATAATGCAAAAATCTTCTCTTCTGCCTTCTGGACTAAACTTTTCGAACTCTTGCAGGTCAAAATCAAGCATTCTTCGCCTTACTATCCTCAAGGCAATGCTCGACCTGAACGCCTCAACTCCGTCTTGATTGAAGCTCTTCGCATCTACTGTGCCAATCGCGTCAACCATGACTGGGACAGATTTCTTCCCCTCTTCGAGATGCATTACAATTCTTCCGTCAAACGTTCAACAGGCCTTGCGCCATTCGAGATTATTTATGGCCGCAACGTCAAAACTCAACTGGCTCTCCCTGCCCTTTCCAACTCGTCTGATGATCCTGAAGACATTCGCGAAGCCATCCAAGTGCACATGGAAGCAGCTCGCGATGCCCTCGATCACATGGCTCGTTCAACTGAACAGACCCTTGACCAACACCGTCGCCCTCACAATTTCAACATCGGCGATCTCGTGTGGCTCTCAACGACGAATATTCCAATCACCGACAGCTTTCCCAAGCTCCGTCCTCGTTTCATCGGTCCCTTCAAGATCCTCTCCTTTGTTTCTGACAACACTGTTCATCTCGAACTGACAGATCGCTTTCGTCATCTTGAACACAGCGTCTTCAACCTCAAGTGGCTTCGCCCCCATCAGGACCGTGATCCCAACTTCGAGCTTCATGTCGATCGACCGGATCCTCTTTCGACAGCTCAAGGACTTGAATACGAAGTGGAACAAATTCTCGACAAACGTCAACGTGGTCGTGGTATCCAATATCTTGTTCATTGGAAAGGCTACCCTAACCCAGCTGATCACTCCTGGAAATCAGCTTCTGAACTCAACAAGAAATCTGGTATTCGTGCTTTAATTCAACAATTTGAATCTTCTTTATTAGCTCAAGCGTCACCTTCCCGCCGCTCTTCTTCCTCTTCTTCTGCAGATCCTTAACTCAAGATTCTTCTGAGCGAAGTCAACGACAGGTGGACCTTCTTGTCGTCTCGCAGTGGGAGCGATGTTGTATTCTGGACTCATACCGGACGCCCCTTGGACGTAGCGTAGGGAAATAGGATGACGATGCAGATTCCTGCAGTGGTGCTGCTGATCTGATGAGCGTGTGTGCTTAATAAACAGAGATCCTAAGATCATCTGAACTCAACGTCTTACGCAAGGTTGTGTATACAACACTCATGCTCATGCTCATGCTCATGCTTCTATGAGTCTATCTCACCCGCTCTCTTCCCTCTCCCTCTCCCTCTCCCTCTCCCTCTCCCTCTCCCTCTCCCTCTCCCTCTCCCTCTCCCTCTCCCTCTCCCTCTCCCTCTCCCTCTCTTGGTACTCGTACAGCTTTTCATACAGCCCCCACCCTCAAGAAGGGGAATCACAGTTTCTAAAGACCCTACCCTTCAATTGAGAAATTCATAACCCCTACCCTTTAATTCTATATCCTCTTCTCAAGCAATGATTCGATACCCTTCTATATGAATATAATCAATATCTTATTCGAGGTTTTTGATTCATGTCTAGACCTTCTGGCTAATGCCTTCACATGCGAACACTACTACCGGTCAGTCTCCTCCCACCACCCCTTCATCCTCATCAGCCGACGAACCCCACCCCTCCAACTTGCAAAAGTACGGAAGCTCCGACGATCCCGGAGGCACAACTAGGCTTCATATACGTCACTAGGGAACCGAGTATTTGGTCCTAGGAAGGTCCTATTCCCAGTGAGTCCGTTACTACATACGATGGTATGAAGCACTACTGTAGAGGTCTTGGGGGGTACTGGAGTATCAAAACCGTTCTGGATCGGAAAAGGAGGGGGTGATCACAGGGAATGGAGGGGGTGGGGATCGGAGCTCCATGTCGAGGACTCTAAAAGTTTTTATGAAGTTGGTGGCTGGCCTTGACCCTTCGGGCGAATAGTTTATTGAGTAAAATAATGTACGGGCTTGGAGCGTTTGGGGGGGGGGGTTACTTTATTAGGACGGAAGGGGTTACCAAAATTACAACTAGCATTATTTAATTTACAACTCTCTTTTAATTCACTTGCTAACTGTGTGGTCAGGCGCTACCCGGCTAGCAGGCTTGAATATAGAGAGACGATGTTAGTCATCGGAGACAGCAGACACCGCAGCAAAGTCCACGATGGCAGTGCAGATGGCAGTGTGGAACGACGACGAGGCGATGCCATGGATCCTTGCGGACGGGTGAAGATGAAGCTTGCCTCTCCCCTCATCATCTCCTCTCCTCCTTTTCCCTTCTTGTTTCGTCTCATCTCATATCGTCTCGTCTCTTCTCGTCGCATTTCTGTTCAGCTCGGCTCAGCTCGGCTCGGCTCTGCTCTGCTCTGCTCTGCTCTGCTCTGCTCTGCTCTGCTCTGTGCTCTGTGCTCTGCTCTGCTCTGCTCTGCTCTGCTCTGCTCTGCTCTGCTCTGCTCTGCTCTGCTCTGCTCTGCTCTGCTCTGCTCTGCTCTGCTCTGCTCTGCTCTGCTCTGCTCTGCTCTGCTCTGCTCTGCTCTGCTCTGCTCTGCTCTGCTCTGCTCTGCTCTGCTCTGCTCTGCTCTGCTCTGCTCTGCTCTGCTCTGCTCTTCTTCTCCTCGTTGCCGTCTACACTAGTTCGATGGGTTTCTGCGTTGACTTTTTCTAACACCTGTCCGTTGCTAAGGCGTCGAGCAGCTGAGTTTGAACTCCCTGCATGGACGCGAGCAGTTCATCCCATCTCCACTGCGGGTACATGTGCATGGTGACTTGATTATTGCTGACTCTATCAAGACGTCAAGACGTTTGCGACGCCGCAGGTATGAGCTAGTCATGATGCCGGTGCATTACTGCTTCTGACGGTGTTCTGCTCCCCCTCTGGAAGGTTGGCGGAGTGGTAGAGCTACACTGGTCCTACCGGTACAAGTTGCTACGGGACTTGTGAGGAATTGATTGTATTCATGCGAATGTTTCAGCATTGCAAATTGGGTAGAGAAGCGGTGGAAGGAGATGATTCTCAGATGGAATGTGTACAGAAGGTACAGAAGGCGTGGTATGAGGAATCCTTACAAAACTCCTCGCAGTGTCTCACGAAATAAGGAGCTGGCATCTTCCTCCTCTAACAAAAGTTGGTGGCTACATGGTAACAAGTGTCACTCTGACGTTCCTCAGATATAGAAGAGAACAAGGATGAGAAACGACCTCGCAGGCAGGGCAGGAGACATGCTGAAGCTGAACCGTCAAGACTGCAGAGGCCGAAGGAAGGGGCAAGCTTGTGATGTGCGCGTGGGTCTGACAAGATGCACTGACAGGATGCCATGGTGGATGTGGCCCAGGCCTCGGAAAGCTCAGCCGGGGAGGAGGAAGTGAAAGGTCGCTCTTCCTCCAATCAAGCACAAAGTGAATCCAAAGGAGCACAAGGTGACTGGAGTGTGGCATGCTAGTGCTCGCGCTCACTGGAGACAGCGACAAGCGTCAGCTGGAATGACGACTGGGGGATCACGACGAGCAAGTGGCAACGGGCCATCGCTCAGGTTGTTTGGATGACGTGGTGGAGTCAGGATGACGTGGTCAGCAGGGATGCATGTTCATCGAGGTGGCAAGATGCCGCGCCGAAGTGCTTCATGTCTGCATGCAGGTCTGACGCTTGACGTGAGAAGGAAGGAGGGTGAGAGTCGCTTGCAGGGCTATCGGATCCTTGCTCTCTGCTCGGACAACACAGCACGGGTGGGTCTTTCCTCGCGCTCCTTCTGCTTTGATCGCCCTCGAGGTTGTGGATACGACCACCGGCAGCTTGCTGAGTGCCGTCCATCGACCAGGAATGTCGTGGTGCGTCGCGTTCAGGTATGACAAGCTCGGGGTGAAGATGGTCGGGGGTTGCGATGTGGGCGGGGGGGGCGGGGGGGACGGGAGGAGGTTCGAGTATGATTGTCGTATTTCAAGACAAGGGGTGATCCTCAGCGCGGCGGATGATCGGACGCTCTGGTGCCTTGACCTCGTGACGTGAGGAGGTCAAAGTAATGCCCTGCTTGTCGATGACACTTTGACAGAGGAAGTTGTTTGGCAACACTCAGAGGACATGTAGGCTCTCTAACTACTCCTTCTCTCTGTCTTCCCTCCTTTTTTCTACTTCTTTCTCATTGCTTCCTCCTCCTGCATTCACATGTGTCTCTGATGTCTCGCGATTCTGAACAGCAAGCGACTGTACACTGTGTAACAACAAGAGAGCATCTTGCCGTCTCTGGTACTGAAGGGAAATGAAAGTATCGAGTAAGACGAGAAACAGGCGATGCTAGCGGATGTGTTCGAGTATGGGATTTGAGGTCAAGACTTTCTTCATGTTCCTCCTACTCCTCCTGCTGCTTCCGCCTTGATGGCATCCTTCTCGATCCTCCTCCTCCTCCTCACTTTCATTCTCGTTCTTCTCCTGCTCTTGCTCCCTCTTCTCTTCCCTTCTCGCTTTTTCTCTGCTCAGATCCCACCTCTCTCTCGATGCATTTATATGAAGGACTACAGGCATGCTAGTCAACAGCACAAGATTGAGACAGGGCTCTCAGGGTTTTCAAAGGAAGAGCTGGCGGTGGAGGTATCAGCACAGCACAGGAGGTAACGGGCTTAACGAGAGGAGCAGGAGGCGGAGCGAGGACGCGCGTGCATAGGGTCTTTCTCTCACGAGCAGCGAGTCACGTGCGTGGCTCTCTCGGATGACCTCGAGATATTTGCAGCTGGTTAGGGATGGGTGGGGCGGCGCGAGCTGCTGACAGTGGAGGCAGGAGGGTCTTGCGGGAGCTTGAGAGTTTGGAGGATAGAGGAAGGAGAAGGGGGCGAGGCTTCAGTCGCCGACCATGTCGAGCTGGCGGGGGAGCAGGAGGACGAGAGCGACATTCTCTGCCTCCGATGTCAATCTTGTGCCGATCGATTCTGGTGGATCTCAGCTGGAGACTCTCTGGGGCGTGTCCATACATGGCGAGTGGAAGTCGATGGGGCGGGCAGGTTGGCGGTGGTTCACCAGTGGAAGGAGCAGACGCATGAGGAAGGGAGTTGCTCTCACTGACTGCCGCACTGACAAGGTTGGCAATGCAGGGAGCAGTACTGAGCATGCACCTCTACGCGGGGACAGCAGTCTCAGGTGCCTGGCTGGCCCTTGTGGCGTGACGTGAGTTTGGAGCAGGCAGCAGTACAGGAACCGTCGCTGTCGCCTCGCTCGAGACAGGAGGGGTGAAGTCTCCTCCTCTGCTACACGCTGGTGACATGATGCCCAGCTGCTCGCCTCCTTCCAGGCCTTCGATTCCTCCGTGGGTGTCACAGCCTTGACTGCTCGTCGGGTGAGAAGTGGAGGGAAGGAGGGAAGGGAGGCTGGAGAGGATATGAGGCTGACGTGGCAGGCAGAAAATCATTGTGAGTGGGAGCTCTGAGGGTGATGTGGTTCTCTGGGACTTCTCGAACAAGTACATCTTTGTCCCCCCGCCCCGCCCCCGGGGCCCGCCCCACCTTCCTCCTCATCCTCCTCATCCTCCACCACCACCACCACCACCACCACTTCTTCCTCTACTCTACCTCTTCTTCTTCTTCATTTCCTTCAGTCCTGCCGCTTTTGGTTTTTCGCTCTCTCTCCCTAGGCCCACTCACTCACCTCCTCTGATTTGCCATCTCAGAATCTTAACTCTTCCTGGGAGCTGAACTGAGTTGGAGGCTTGAAGATCTTTCAAGGCTTCCTGCATTAGCAATAAAATGAAGAATGCTCTGCTATGGGTTTGGAGGAACAAAACAAATCTCACAATCTCCATTACTTGTCTGAGTCGCGAGCCGGGCCGCCGGGTCAGATCCGACGATCCGAGGCTACAATGACCGCCGGGCCGAGTCACTGAGTCATGCTCGGGCGGCAACTGCCACCGCGATCGAGACACCGAAATGGCATGTTGAGACAAAAATCAGTCCGGCGGGGGATTCCGGGAATCGAACCCGGGACCTCTCGCACCCGAAGCGAGCATTATGCCACTAAACCAAATCCCCGAACTATTAGTCACAGTCCAGCTAGGGTTTATATACCTTGAAATCAAAATCATAAGGATATCAAATGGAAACGAAGGACAGTTGGATAGCGGGATTGCGAGATGGCGAGAGCTTCAACAAGGAAGACAGCACTGTACTCGGATAAGAACAGCTCTACAGGATAGAAAACTCCCTTGCTGACTCCTCTGCAGGCTCCTCTGCCAGCGTTCGAAGACTGCAGACAGACTCTCAGCATACGCTTTTGCATCCGCCGAGCACAAGGATGCTTTGACCAGGCGGGAGACAACCATCTCCAAGCATAAGCAGAACTGTACATCCATCAGTAGAGCCGAAAAATGAACATCACTCACTATGTTCAAATCTTTGGCATTCATCTTCTCTCTTGATCGGGACTCGACTGCTTCTTTAAAGAGTTCCTCCTCCTCGACTACGAAGTTGACCTTCTGCGACATGTCAAGACAGTAGGGGTACCTTCACTCTCACGTACTCGCACAAGCTGAGAAAGCTCGACGAGCTCCATCGGTGATCCAACCTCGTCTCCAGCCACCTCCTTTCCCAGCATGGTTTTCATCAGGCGAGCAGTCAAAGAGCTGCAGCTAACGTGAGGCCTCGGGCTGATGGGAATCAAACTACCTGTGGACTCTCTCCGTGTCTTGTGAGTAGGGCCACAACTGCCTCAGCAACTGACAGCGACTCTGATTGGAAACCGTGACGTCATCGTCGAAGAATACTTCCATCAATTGCGCTTTGACGTCCTCCCATCGCCAACTCCTGACCAGAGTCTTGAATCTCGTCAGCTCTCGCTTGCCATCACAGCAGTCATCACATGCAGGCAGCTGGCAATCGCTTCCCGCGCGTTGTGACCATCCGCCATCTCGCCGTCGAGGTCACGGAGCTCGAAGGTGCCGTCTTGTTGGATTCGAGGGTCAGCCAACAGTCGGAGGATGAGGGCAATCCATTGCAGACGCTTCTCCTTGCTCGGCCGCATCCACCTGCTGCTCTCCTTCAGAAATTAACGATGAGCGATTTCGCCCTTACCTTTCCATTGCATCCTTGATAACCAGAAACAACCTTCCAACGTACAAGATCCCGTCCTTGCCGTCTGTGCTTTTCTCCTCCTCCTCTTCAAGTTCATTCAGTCGCCCAACCCCTCATAGACTCTTCGCTTCGTACCTTGAGGCGCGATAAATTCGTGGGATGGAAACTCTTTGTGTTGGGGGTGTTTGTATTTTGACGGAGGAAGAATTTCGACATTGTAGTAGTATTGCTTCGAATCGAATTCCATAAGCCTGCCTTCTTTCCATCCCTCCATCTTAGTCTTGACACAGATTCGAGTGCCCTTGCTGTGTATGATGTATGGGGGCCGGGCCTTCTTTGATGTGGCGTCGGACTGCGCTCTGGTAACATCTGCCGCATGCATCTCTACCTTCAAAAGTTGTCCGACCTCTCGTTCGGGAATCCCGACATCAACCATGCAGTTGTAAACATCCTGATCAAACACCGCCAACGATAGCCTGCTCGTGGTATCACCCGGAAGATTGGCTTCGCGTAGAGGTTTCACTTGCCTCGCTGATCTTAAAAACTTCTGGAGGAGCTGCCGAGCTGCCACGCAGCATTCCACGTGATTGTGAAAAACCTGCACAGCCATGTGAGGGACAAGTGTGGCAAACAAAGGGAATGCAACAGATATCCAAAGCAGACTTGTCACAAGCTCTTCTTCTTGTTTGGACCCTAGTGGATCTTCTAGGCGCTGCAGCAGTTGCCCTCGCAAGCGTTTGGGGTTTGAAGAGAGGTCATATTTTTTCATACAACCGATCAATCGTTCGGGCATGCATTCCCTGACATCCCTCATGTCGACGAAGGGAACAAAGTGCAAGAAGGCTTTGTTCGCTTCCTCGTCTTCCTGAGGCTCCTGCCCACCAGGCTGCTCATCTACCAGTTTATGTGCTTGTTCAATCAACTCTCCGTAAGCCTCCAATTCCCCGTTATGCGTCTCGCCATCTTTGTTTTGTTTCAGCAAGACTTTGTTCCTTCGAGAGCGCTCGGAGATAACCTGTCGTGCATCATCGTCAAAGCGACTCGGTTGACCTCCATCAGCATCACCCTCATCACGAATCGGTTTTGAAGCGAGTCGGACCGAGTTGACTCTGGCATTGCACCTCACGTCAGAGACATCAACCATGAGCTAGACGTAGCACCTTGAGGTAGCTTGCGGCGCCTGTCTCTCTGTAACCTGCTTTCTCCGTCTTCACCGTCATCGACAAGGTCTTGTCTGGCAGGAGCATGCCGGCTCTCGTCTTCTGCGACCTTCCTTGGTCTCCCTCGCTTTCTCCTGCCTGGAGCTGCTTGAACCTCCTGTTTCCCTTGGTTGGCTGCATGGGAATCGGTCTTCCTAGGCCGACCTCGACCCCTCTTAACGACAGCCCCTCTTCCGTCCGTATCCTTCTGACCCTCTGCTTCATCCTCCTCAGTCACAGGACATGTCCTGTATCTTTTGCTTGGTGAGCATGGTAGTGTCATAGCACTGTGGCTATCGTTTTGCTGAGTCGCTGCCTCTTCCTTTTTTATGCTGGCTTCCGAAGTGCCAGAAGCTTTTCCTCGTGAGGTCGGGTCTCGTATCGAATGAGAAGCAGTGAGGGGGAAATCTTCATCGTCAGAAGAAGCGGGGGAGAGAGACAAAGAAGCGACAGACGACAGAGAGCTTGACAAGGAACTAGATCTACACAGTTCACCAGGAACAGGCGAGCCTGGTCGGCTCATATTCGATGAAGATGTTCTTCACCCTCTCGTCTCCTTCTAAGTGTGAATCCCTAGAGCCACTTGTCACTCCATATTCACTCCATATAACCTCCTCCTCCTCCTCCTCCTCCTCCTCCTCCTCCTCCTCCTCCTCCTCCTCCTCCTCCTCCTCCTCCTCCTCCTCCTCCTCCTGCAGGGTTTCTTCTCCTGCTGTTCGCCCCGTCCCTCGATCGTGGGAGTTCCCCTCTCCAGACCAGTGCGAGCAGAACCTGAGCCACTCCTTCCCGCGGACGAGCAAGGCAGAGAGAGGAGGAGAAGGAGGCGGGGGAGACGCTGAGAGGCCTGCAGGGGAAGCAGCGGAGAATGGCAAGGGACAAGGATGGAAAACTCTCTCCTGCTTCCTCTCTCTGCGGCAGTTTCGGTCCTCTCCCCTTCCTTTCCTCCTCGTCCTCCTTTCTTCCACCTCCCCTTGCTCCGCCTCCTCCTCCTCCTCCT